TCAGGCAAGGTTGCTTACTATCAACCTTTCTCTTTCTCCTGGATCATGAAGACGTCAACATCTGAAGGGAAGCACGGGACACAGTGGACAGGTAGGATGCAGCTGGACGATTTAGACTTCCCAGATGATCTGGCTCATCTGTTACACACGCAATAACAAATGCCAGATAATTCGACCAGTGTAGCAGCAGCCTCAGCGGCAGTAGGTCTCAATACACACAGAGGGAAAAAAATATTCTCCGATACAACACAGCATGCAACAACCAAAATGCACTTGACGGAGAAGCTTTAGAGGATGTGAAAACGTTACATAACTAGGCAGCATCATTGATGAACACGGTGGATCTGGTGTAGATGTGAAGACGTGGATCGGCAAAGCAAGAGCAGAATATTTACAACTGAAGAACATCTGGAACTCAAAACAATTGTCAACCAACACAAAGATCAGAATTTTCAATACAAATGTCAAGACAGTTCTACCGTATGGGACGGAAACTTGGAGAACTAAGAAAGCCATCATCCAGAAGATACAGGTGTTTATTAATAGATTTTAACGCAAAATACTTCGGATCCATTGGCCAGACACTATCAGCAACATTCTACTGTGGGAGAGAACAAACTAGATTCCATCCAGTGGAGATAGAAATCAGGAAGAAGTGCTGGAAGTGGATAGGACGCACATTGAGGAAATCACAAGACAAGCCCTAACATGGGATCCTCCCATTGGTTGAAAACACAAACAATAATTAACTTTTCCACATTCGATTAATATATATATATATACTCACTGATTTACCAGTGTGCTTGCTCTCTGCGCTCTCGCGAATTTCTACTAATCATTAACAATAAGCCATTTCTATAACTGGTGTTCTGGCTTCAGAATAATCTCGAGTAAATTCATAATACTGCTGATATTTAGCCTGCGTAAATACTCAGTTGACAGAATATTACTTATTGAAGTCAGATATAGAGGAAATAACCTCTACAAATAATGGCGTAAAAGTTATGCTTATAGTAACACTACAATTGTAAACGTAGAGTGAAAAAATTTCTAGCAGAATATAAAGATACAATGGGAGGACTTGTCGGAAGAAAACTTTAGAAGCATATCACAATTAAAACGAGCGTATAAGGAACAAAACATACGAATAAACTTCAGAAATGAGTTCTTCACAGTTTGCGGACATTGATAAGGTAAGGCCGCAAAAAATATCTTTACGAAAAATTGATATTCAAATGCTAAGACAGATTTATTTGGATTCTGATTGATTTACAAAGGAATTATTAAGTTTGGAAAGACACATTCAAATTCTAAAGATGTTTAAAAAGTTTATTCTCAACAATTGTGAACATCTAGTTTATAGTAATCTGATGTGCGAACAGCATGTTTCCTAATCTTTTTTCAAGAAGTTCGTAAATGGTCTAAGATTCTTTTCACTATTGCGTGATCTTTATTATTATTATTATTATTATTAATAATGGCTTTATTCAATATTATAATCTGGTACAATATAGAATTCTCAGCACGAGTTATTTCAACAAGTTTTTTACCATTAAAAAACACTTTAAGAAAAAAAACTGCGTTTATACAAATTATCGAATCTGAAACATGCTTAAGAGTACAGGTTATTTACTAGGTCAACTCTAACAACCTGTTCGTCACAAAGTAAATTTGCTAGGTAAGGTATTACAGAACTTTTATAGACTTGTTTGCGTGTATGGATTTTAATGTATTTACGTCTCGTTCTACCAGAAGATATACAAGGAGAAAGATATGAATGAAGCGGATGGTTAGTATCTGATAAGATAACACCTGCCAAGAGTTTGCAAGACTTAAGATGTCTATTCACAAGCATATTAATAATGACTTCAAAAGATTCACCACATACCTTGCAAACTGCCTTCAGCACTCTACGCAAAACAGCAAAGTGTTTTCTCAAAAGCCCGGGAAAGAATAATGGGGAACAATATAGAATAATAGGTAATATGCAGGAATTTACAAATTGTAAGAGTAAATGGCGAGTAATCCCAAAAGCATGCAGCCTCTTTACGTAGTATGTCAAACGGTAAACTTTTTTCGATAACAGTAAAACATGAGAAGACCAAGAAAGATCAGAGGAAAAAATGACACCAAGATATTTGACCTTCGACACTGTGTTTATTAAAGAGTCTCCAATGGCACAAGCATTACGGGATCCCAAAATAGAGTATAGGTTCTGTCCATGTCTCAAGCTAAAATTAACAGCTTGACATTTAGATGGATTGAGTAAGAGACCATTACCAACAGACCACCTTTCAATACGAGATAAGAACTCATTCATTTCTATGGGATGTAAGGAGGTAGAAATGGGCATACATACAGTGAGGTCGTCCGCATATTTTACAAAAGTGTCTTCTGTGGAGGATGGCAGATCATGCAGAAAAAAAGAGAAGAGCAAAGGTGAAAGAACAGCTCCTTGTGGCACACCTACAGTAGACAGTAGAGATGTTGAACACTTTCCTTCAAATACAGTGTACTGTTCTCTTCCAGAAAGGTAGGAACATAGCCAATTGTTTATCCAGCTGTCAATGTCGACGCTGATCAGCTTGTTAAGCAAGAGGTGTCTTGGAATAGAATCAAAAGCAGAAGCAAAGTCCAGGAAAGCGCATCTAACGTACTTCTAACCCTTTTCAAACCCGAACACTATAGTGTGATGCAGAACAGCAACGGCATCTAAAGTGCTTCTTTTGCATTTGTAAGCAAACTGATATGGATCACAGTGCTCTTTTATTGCAGGTTGAAGTGGTTGTATCAGTAATTTTTCCATTATTTTGAGGAAAGGTGAAGTTATTGCAATGGGTCTAAGTTTCACATTTTTATCACCAGAAGCTTTCTTTGGTATAGGGATTGTCTTATCTTTCTCCATATTTTCGGTAAGAAATTAGTTGAGAAGGATCTGTTAAAGATATTCGTTAATGGATAACATAAAACATCAGCACCTTTTTAAAAAAGGAGGTTTGGGATACTGTTAAGTCGGCTTACAGTAAACTCTATCAGAGCCTCCAGAGCCCCAACCAATCAGCGGATAATTAAAAGCTATGCTACTAAAATAACGAAGTCCTGATTGGCTGTTTAACATACTGCTACTATGGAAACTCAAGGTCTCTTAATTACTATAAAATACCTGTATTTTCTGTACATAAATGAACCTTGTAGTAAAGTATTTCTCTCATACTCGAGTCTTCTCCCTGGTGTTCAAGTCGCTGAGTAGTTCTAGCCTGGGGTTATCAGAATAGCTTAGGACCTGAATATAGCGTTCAACCAACAAGATATAACATATACCATCAGGTCCTAAACATGGGGATGAATTAAGTGACTGGAGACATTTTGGACATCACTTTCAGTGAAACTGCAAACACAATTATTCTTCAGACCCTTGGATATAGGGAGCATGATGTCAGATGACTGACGTATAAAGGACTTATTTAAGTCACAAACATTCAGCTGGTTATCGCTTCTAGTCTGCCTGTCCCCTGTAATTTCTTTGTATATTTACACCATACAAAAACTAATTTTGCTTATTTCCTTGAAAGTACAATGTTTGATATTTGTGTTGAAGCTGAATAGGATGTAATATTCTTTTCAATTTGCAGATTATTTTTGTTAGCGACGAGTGAATTTCATCACTCCCAACATATGAAGAAAAGTTATGGTTATTTAACTAAATGATAATTCTTTTATACGTTATTCTGCGCCAGATTCGAATTTAAAATACAATACATCCGATTGTGCTTACGATTTTTCCTTTGACTTCGATACTGGTCTATACGTGACTATCAGAGCACGGATTAGACAGATCTGGGAGTTACCAGATAGCAAAGCTAATTTGATAATTTCTGGTCATTACAAATAACTCACGGTAAAAAGAGTTGATAATAACAGACTAGTAATGGAACATAAAAACCCACATGAATTTCAGCGAAAATTGCAATCAGCAAAGTAATGCACTTTGGTCAACACAACAGCTATAACACGCGTTAACACTTACATGATCCCAATTATGCAGATAACTATCAAATTGTGCACTTCAGTTTCACCACAATATGTATCGTGTATGTCGAGTTTTCATTTAGACTTACGTTCTAAAATTGTTTCCATGTTACAAAATATCAATGTATGTCATAACACAACAACTAAGCCGCATAATTGCCCATAGCAACTCCTGTAAAATAATTGTAACAGTTTGACATTGTGCTTAAAATTGCATGCTTAATGTAATTTGGAGCTAACTTAAAAAGAAATTACTATTCTCGTCTGTTCGATTCCTGTTGGTGACCTTACGGAATAAATTGAAACCTAAAGGATTCGAAGGTATTAACCATCCTGAAATCATATAGGATCATACCATCTCGTCAAGCCAATTAAGATCAAGGCATATTATACTTAAAACCCATCTCTAACATTTACATATTAAGTGAATTAGGTGGCTCCAATAATGCTCTGTTATAGCTAGGGGTGAGGGAGAGTCCCCTCTCTGGCTTGAAATGCTCTCAAACGTCCGCGAGTATATAGACATTGCTAGGGACGTCCTACTCACTGCCTTTTCCTGGAGAGGTTGTTGGTGGATATGGAGAACTCACTTCAGAGAGTTTGAAAACCCTGATTCCAAATCAGTGATGCACATGGGCTCCAGAATCCTGAAGGAACAAATGGCGTATGAACCTACTGTTAGTCACTGGCTACCATCGGACTGTCTCTCCTGACTTTGCTGCACTGCCTTGTGGATCAGACTTCTAGGTCGAAGTCTCGGGGAGTGGCCTTCTAAGAAAATTATATGCTTTCAGTTTGCGGGTCCGGACAGTATTCCAGCTCTCGCACAAATCGAATAACGAAGTGCTAAGTAACAGCAAGTCAAATATATGTCTTGCATTAAATAATTATTACTGAAAGGGAAAAATCTAGACAACCAAATACCTCACTATCCAACTTTCCACCTGAACGACAATCAAGCTAAAATGTTCAACTGGTCATGTGTTATGTATTATGACTTGTATTCAATACAGTAAGAAAGTAAATACAGCAAAATCAACAAACAGTACCGGAAGAATAATGGAAATAATGTTTTATTAGGGGAAATGAAAATTACTTTACACAAAATCGACTAATCTGATGTTGAGGGTTGTATGGTTGGTGAGGAAGAAGATGCAATTGGTGCAGAACTGTACAAGTCACCCTCAGAGTCGGGATGGAAAGCGACCACAGGAAGATTGTAGGGTGAAACAAAAAACTTCCCTTTCGGATTCAAACTCCCGCCAGACTTTTCCTAAATTCAAAACAAAGTATCAAGGAATTCAGGGAGATTCGAATAATTACATTGGGCTGGTCACAAAATTGATATTAAAAGTCAAGAAAGAATAAATGTTACTAGGGTAGCAAACAATGATGCTGTGTCAACAGGAAGTATTCATGGAAAGACACAAAACTAGTTATTTATTCATAAGACATACGTAATATAATGTGTTCACATGTTCAAATGTGATAGAACTATAATGAAAAATTCTAGGAAATACCGTCAACTTTGGGATTGATCATGGAAATAAAAGGTAATGTGGAAGCGCAGGACCACTACTATAAATACCAATTGGATAATGTATCGAATTTCCCAAAGACATGGAGTATGACTGGTTGCTTGGTAACATACATAAGTAAGAATACTTGTAAACACATCATTCAACACCAGTTGCAAAGTCATCATCAAATTGTAACTAAATAGTTCGGGGTTTTCTACTGGTTGCTTTATAAACAAAAAATCTATACCGGAAGTAAATGAAATCGAATGTTATGATCACATGAAAAATGTTTATAATGAAGTAATAACTCAATGGTTAAAGCGCTCAGATTTGAACAGTCGATTCTGAAAGTTTAAACCCCACTGTTTAGTGAAGCTAAGGGTAGTTAGTGGCAATAACTTTCACAAAAAGTGTAGCTGAAACCTAAGTATACAAATTTAAACTTCGTTACTGAGTTACATGTAATTAAATAAATAAAAGTTACCAACTATGGTACTGGGTTTATGAAAATCCAGAACAAGTAACTGAACATCATCTTGGCTATCGATCAGCAACTAATCAGTGGTTAAAAACCTCATTCATATATTCTAAACAGTAGATGTTTTGTACACATCTGACACATTTTGGTAACTACCACAGAATGTTATACGTGTTCTTTGTTAAAAACATGCATCAATAAAGTGATATTTGATTACGAAACTTTATCAAACCATTTTAGGGAGAGGGGAAATATCTAAGACGTAGACAATATAAAAGAAAGTATATTTACATGAAATAAACAAATGATTTTCCTTGAATAAATCCATTCATTCGGGATTGGTTATAACTGAGAAATTCTATATAACGAAATAAATAACAATAGTAATCTAAATCTTAAACAACATATTGTTATATCCTGGTGAAGACAGAAGTACGGGTAACTCCCAGGACCTATTAATGGACTATTATTCTATATATATTCTTATTGCTTAACTATTGAGTAACTAGATTGTGTATATCTATATTTATCTTATTATAAGCTTCATTCTGACCTATGAATCATTATTATAGGAATTACTGTTCCTAAATTATACTCAGTTTATTGATTATTGTCTCCCATGTCCACAGCCGCATTTAGCTTGATCTTGTACAAATATTATTTTCTATGTTATGATATGATGCGGTCTGTCTGTCTGGTATATAAACCGAGTATGCTTGAAATAAAGGATTCGCATAGCAGAAGATGCAATTAGTGTTTTTGGACTCAATTGGAAGAGCTAGGCGGACAAGGGGTTAATAAGGACGCTAGAATGCTCATACTGGTCGAACGTCATTGATCTGGCACAGTGTCAAGATTGGAAAAGTCGTATTTCGATTGATGAATAAATCACGTGATAAAAATCCGGACATAACAAATTGGAGACAGCTAAATTATTTTTTAAATTCATAACACATATACTGACTAGTGTTCCATATTTTTCAGATAATTAACATTGTAAGCTAGATAAGAGTGTGATATCAAAAGAGAGACTTGGGTGTCCTATCAAAAAGACCTCAACAGATAAACGGATAGAAATAACGTCATAAGAATGATCGTACTATGCAAGCTGGTAAATTTTAGGTAAAAACCACTTCAACAACCTAACAGTTAAAATAGAAAAGTTCGGAGTTCAAGATAGATGAGATTATTTCAACTCCACATATTAAAGCAAAATCTTTTTATTAAAAACAGTTACTTACCCATTGGTCAGCTAATTCACTCATTTTCGCTTTCAATAAACGAATTAAACTGGCTTTTACAGCAGACTTCTGTTGAGTCTGTGCATCTTGTATTGTTTCCAGTTCATTTCGCTTGTCTGGTTTACTCCCTGGACCATACATACGCAAAAGACCACTCCAGGTATTAACTTCAGGATGTAGGCGGGCTAAAAGATGTTGAGCAGACAAATGACGACCTTCTCTTTTGTTTTTACATCTAACCTGTGATTATTGAGATGGTTAATTTCAATCAGAATTATTTAGTGACTAATAATAGTGAATTTACTAAGGTTTCAAAATAATGAAAGAAATAATTATAAAAAGTTGATACATTTATACCAGTAAGGTAATTCTATAAGATACCATCTACTGCTGTATACCAAGAGTAACAAACATTGTAGAACGAAATGGATTCATTTTATTCCGTATGTTTTATTTCTTTCACATACGTACTAATTTAATACACTGAAAATAATTTTTAAAAGTGTAATTTTGTAGGTAACATGCATGTATAATTAGTTGTTTGATCGAAAGCCTATTTGAAAGACAGAAAGGGTTGATTCAGTATCAAGTTTGTGAGTTTAGTAAACCGTTATTTTATCACACAATCAACCTCTTTATATTCATTACAGACCTTATAAAGGTTCCAGCACAGCTGTTTTAAATAAGCAAGAATACCATTTAGAATTAAGTAAATAACTAAATGATACCAAACACTTCCCTGTAAACAAACAGAGCAAAGATAAGACTCTAAGAGATAAGACATATAGTCAGGTTATAAAAGAGAAAACAATAAACGAATCAACTTGTGAATGCTTAAAGCTAAAAAGCTCTTATTTTCTGACATTGTATGGTTTACTTAGGACTAAAACAATTGGATAACAGGTTGTTATGAAAAACGTTTAAAAATAGTGTAGTGTAGAATATTCGAATAATATTGAGTCAACGAGTTTAACAAATGTGATACATTGATAAACATTGCTATCTTACTATAAACACTCTTTACATCTTTTCCTAATGGATTTCACATTTAGAGTGTAGATGTAATGCCATTTCATTTGTATTGGTCTTTTCAAAGTTTTAGTAAATTACATCTAATACTATCATTATAATTATAGGAATAGTTAAGCCTACCTTAACAGTATGTTCTCTCAGCTGTAAAGTGAAAAAGTGTTTACTGCGTCCTTGAGATATCATATTTGACTTCAAATCAGACTCAGGAACACAACTTCGATTTAAACATTCAACAAGTAGATTATATGGAGTAGGTAATGCCATACGCACAGATAATTCATATAAACGTGGATCAGTCACTGAAATGGAATCGAACAACTGCATATCACGATCAGAAGCTACCACTGGACCTGTTTGATGTGAATCGTTACATACAATCTTTTGAAAATCCGGAATTAAAACTTCAAGCGCCTTACGAGCTTCACAAGATAAAATAAAGCAAACATAAGATATTACTTTAATGGAATATATAATTGTGAAGAGTGAGAACATAGAAAGTTTAAAGTTATCAAATAAGACATTAATATTCACTAATACTTACAAACTATATTTTTACAAGCCAAACGAAAAGTTTCGGGATAGTTATTAAGTCTGTACATAAAATCATTATTGAAATAATTCATGACTCTGACTATTCTTTATTCTTTACTGAATTCAATTTATTCTAACAAGAACTTTTGAGACATGTAACATTTTCAACGTATATAGTAACATGGTTACAACATTCCGCTAGCTTTAATACAATAATAAATAAATAAACATTTTCAACAGTCAATAATATACATACCCGCTTCTAATCTTGCACACTTTTTACTTTGCCCTGTACCCGTTCCGTATGGATTACCGTTAATAAATACTGTCATTTGATAGGGATTTTTTTCATTTTCAAGAACTGTTGTCTGATATGTCGGCGGACGACGTATAACATTTTGGCAATATTCATGAAGAATGCAAACATATGATTTACCAGTCATATTGATCATGCCCTCTAGAAAAATATATCAAGTGGTAAATGTGAAAAAACGAAAATAAAAGTTAGATGAATCAGGGATCTGATCAACTATACAGTTTAATTCTTCTACTTACCACATAATATACACATGATACAGATTGCTGTAAGTTAGAGAACTATTGAAAACCATACAACATAACGGAGCAAACTTGTTTAAGTTTGGGGCTTCTCAGAAACATGTAATCATTACGCCACACGGGAGCGGACATAAAAACACCCGCGAATCAAATACAGCATGTCATGAATAGGTCACCCTAGTTAAGGTCCAATATTCTCTAGTTTTTAGCATCAATCGATATTTAGTGTTATCGATGTAAATCCGTCTTATCACAAACAGCGTTTGACTTCATAAGTCACAACTTAAAATTATCGAGTTTTGCGAATGCTTCTTGAAGCGAGTCAGTAATTAATACCTGATTGTTATTCGAATTTGGTTCCGGTGAAAAGTTATCTAAAGTGAAAATATGGCGAAGACTGACGAAGAGTCCATAACTTGTAAAAGATAACTGTCTAGATCTCCTTAGTGGTTATGGAGATGATGACGATCTGCAATGTAAAGTAGACTCAAACTAAAAACAGACCTACATAAACAACAAAGTGAATATATTATACGTTTGATACATCAAAAAGTGTTTCGAAGGTATTTCAAAAAATTTGTCGTAACACGAGAATAGTACAAAAATACGATCAAATAAACTTTCGCAACTTTTGGTGTTATTACGATAACCATTTAAACAGCAAACAGTTTATTGTATAAACATTATTAGCTTGAAATTATATTTCACATCTATAAAATTATGATAGTTAAGGATCTACAAAGTTGTCGATGTCAACTCTGGGAATCGAGCACAATACTGTCCACTTCAAACCATTACAAATTAAATTAAAATCTGTGTCTGTTGCATAAGTGATTGGTTATCTGGACTCAGTAGCTAAGTGGACAGCATGTTGGCGCTTGAAGCAAAAGGTGATAGGTTCGAGTCCCGCAGTGAACATCAACTCTAGGATTTAGATGCACCCAGCGGACAAGTCCAAAATAGGATAAAACGCGCGTCATGGATTTTACTGTTGGATACATTTCATCTGCTCTAAAAAAATAGAGCACAAAGGATACAATGTATGAATAAAAATAAGTCAGATCGTAGTCGGCCAGAACATCAACAACGGCCGTTGTCCAAGCCTTCATGAGTTTCTACATATTCACTGATAAATATTCATCAGACACTAGCCATCACTACCAAGTGAATTAATCAGAAGAATGCTCTTTTTAAACTTGACTTCTTATATTTGAGAAGGGACTTCCCATAAATCCCCATATTAGCTGACCAGTTCTTCAAGCTAGTATCATCTTATAGTGTTATTCAATAGTATGGTTTGTTTTAGGTGCTTATTGGTCCTTATTGGTGCACTTGAGTAACTTTCGATCCACTGTATTCATAAAACTATAAAGTGGAGTTTGATATTCATCATTTTATTTGTATGTCTATCATAGTAAGGCATTTTGTATCGTTTAGAAAGCTGGTTTCAGTACTTTGCATTTAACTTTAATTGAATATCAACTGGATGTGCTCGCATTTGAAATCCCTCGAGTGTAATTACTTGACCTAGATAAAGACAGACATATTTAACATGAACAATGAATTCCATGACAATTCTAATATAAAGTAACATCTACCTTTAGGCTGCTTTTGCGAAATGTTTCCGTCAGCCGATGGTATTTGATATCGAATAACTTTTGCCTGTTCTGACTTAAATTATAGACATAAAAATAAAGACAATAATGTAGGATGTTTAGACACAAAAATAAGAAAACTGTAAGAGAAAATACTTTTAAAAGACAGATTATTTAATTTGATTCACTAAAACATGTATAATGAACTAATGAGTAGGTAATATGAAGAAGGTGGAATACATAAACTAGCAAGAATTTATGACTCACACAGTAGACACTTTTAATTGTATTTTACGTACTACATATCAATACAAACCTCTCAGGCTAGAGATATAGTACCTTATACATCACAACTTTTGATTAACGATGGATATACAACAGATTTTAAGGAGTACATATAATATAAAAACGTACAAAAAATCCTTTTCTGTTTACGTATATACATATGATGTATGTGTGTACTTCAGAAAACATATATAAAATAGTCGATCCGCTAAATTGATGTCGAATTTCCTTGTGTAAGTAATCAAACTGTTTTCATCAACGCCAGTAAAAATGGGATATATTCACAATAACTAAATAAGACGTGGGACAACACTACTAAGTGAATAAAAATATTTTCTGTTTCTGCGGTATACTACTGTTATACGATAATAGGACTGGGGATAGAGATTTTGTTATCACTAGATCGAATACTAAAACGATATGCTATACACACACTGGATCCAGTTATACTTAGTACACGACTCACGATCAGTAAGAGGGAGACAGAATATACTCTAGACAATACTGAATTTAAGGTAGTTACAAGCAGTCACCACTAATGAGACCAGAGTGGGAACCGATAACAGGAAAAGAAATCACAAATTTAATAGTCGGTAAATTGGATGTCTGATTTTTCACACTCAGTGGTCAATCGTATTTACTTTCACTACCACACATAAAATTTATGCTGATCTGTATCCAGAAATTCGATGATACAAACATTTTTTGCTGCATCACTTTCAACAGCTTAGATACATAGAATTTTCAATTATGTAAAAAAATATAAGAATTAAGAGGTCAAACGTGGGTAAATAGACTGCAATAGTAATCACAAAACATTAAAATCATTACGTAATAAGAAGTATGTAAGTAAATAGATATTGAAGAATACAAACGGAAAGAGGTAGAAAATTACAACAACAACAAAAAGATAACCAAAATAAAATTTTCACAAATAATAATAATGTCATTTATTAAGTTATGTCCGGCCATGGAAGGGACAGGGGGGTTACGAACTTCTTCTGTACACATAAATTGGGATGGAATGTACGAATTCCTATGGCTTCTGCTATATGAAGTAGACGGGAGCGAACTCCGTTGGGAAACGATGGAGGTATACGATAGATCACTTGAAATGATTTCAATTTATCGACAATATGACCACTATCAATTAGATGTGCCAAGATAGAATTGCGTATTGTTTTCATTTGGCCCTTTCCAAACCATGCTGGTAGATGTTCACTCATTCGTTGGTTAAGTTGCCTAGTAGTACGCCCGATATAGCTATCTCCACAGGAGCAGCTGAACTTATAAATGCACATAGAGGAGGCCAACTCAGGTAACTTATCCTTCGTTTTAGTAGACATCACTGGTCGACTCGAGAAAGTCAAGAAAGTTATAGAAGTGAGTGTATTGGCAGGCAGAGGGTCTTTTTCTATACACGCTTCTACTTAACGAGCCATCACTTCGCCTGCTTAGTGTAACGTCAAGGAAATGCAGGTTTATGTCACACTCGCGAAGTGATGGCTCGTTAAGTAGAAGCGTGTATAGAAAAAGACCCTCTGCCTGCCAATACACTCACTTCTATAGCTTTACACCTATCCAATATAAGAGAAACTTGGTTAGATGCCTCACTAGTAGAGCAAATAAGATCTGTTCTGTTGATACTTTAAGTCAGGAACTGGAATTTATCTATAACTCACTGACTGAGATCGGCTACCCTGTTGCGTTCATCAAAAAGTACATGTATGATACAAGGAAGAAATCGGAGATTTCAACTGTTCGTAAGAAGCCTCTATACATGAAATTACCATTGAACTGGGATGTAGCTAGTGAAACTCTGAAAGATAAGTTAACAAAAGTAATTAGTAGAACTTTCTACGCAGCCTATCTCGCATTGACTTTCTCGAGTCGACCAGTGATGTCTACTCAAACGAAGGATAAGTTACCTGAGTTGGCCTCCTCTATGTGCATTTATAAGTTCAGCTGCTCCTGTGGAGATAGCTATATCGGGCGTACTACTAGGCAACTTAACCAACGAATGAGTGAACATCTACCAGCATGGTTTGGAAAGGGCCAAATGAAAACAATACGCAATTCTATCTTGGCACATCTAATTGATAGTGGTCATATTGTCGATAAATTGAAATCATTTCAAGTGATCTATCGTATACCTCCATCGTTTCCCAACGGAGTTCGCTCCCGTCTACTTCATATAGCAGAAGCCATAGGAATTCGTACATTCCATCCCAATTTATGTGTACAGAAGTTCGTAACCCCCCTGTCCCTTCCATGGCCGGACATAACTTAATAAATGACATTATTATTATTTGTGAAAATTTTATTTTGGTTATCTTTTTGTTGTTGTTGTAATTTTCTACCTCTTTCCGTTTGTATTCTTCAATATCTATTTACTTACATACTTCTTATTACGTAATGATTTTAATGTTTTGTGATTACTATTGCAGTCTATTTACCCACGTTTGACCTCTTAATTCTTATGTTTAATTATTGATAAAACTTTTGTTATCGTGATTTAATATTTTTACTACTATCAGTACACTTGTCTTCCCACTAACAACTTGTACTTTTAACTATTATTATGCTTGGTTACGTATTCTATTTCATTGTGATTATTGACTCAAATAGCCTTGATTTGTCTAACATTTTCATATAAATATTCATGTATATTAGAGTAGAGCCTGATGACGATCTAATTGAAAACAATTGTTCACTTACATGTGTTGTTCTAATTTTCACAATGGGAATCTTTAATAAGTAAAAAAAGTTTATTACCGACGTTGTACGTACACTTCATTTGCACATTTTAATGATGGTTACGAAATGATTTGAAGTCATCATTCGGTAAAGCTACATCGTCCACGAGGGAAACTAGCTTCAGCTAACTGATTCAAGTCTTAGTCATAAACTTTCTTCAAAACTGCCTTAAGAATATTACAGATTACATACAACATTAAGAAATAATGATTAATTTATAAGATCGTATCAAGCCTATGTAGATGTTGTGTAGAGACAACGATTTTTATAAATATAATTCCACTTAAGGGCGGTTACTGATGCTAAGCACAAAACTGGACAGTATATTCTTGTTTGAGAAATCTATAATAGATTCATATCTCACTAACAAAATAAGTAGAACTTAGTGTGTTTATCAAATTAAGTTACAACAGTGTAAATTTTAACATAACAAGAGCATAAAGTGACTACATTACGTGTTTGCAAGATAGAGTCCTGGCTATTATATTTTCTGGTCAGACACAAATCGAAATACACTAATTGGTCCATTTTCAATCAATTAATCAACGAACTGAAATGTTATACTTTGCTGTTCAAGTTTACTGGAACATACATTACTACTTTTCAGTTCTTGTTTTGATTTCGGAAGTATAAGTATTAAGGGATGTTAGACAGTAAAACATAATCAACGAAAGTGAGAATACTATTCGTTATCGCTTTCATTCACATACAGCTCATAAATGAAAACAAAAAAATCAATGCTACGGAGAAATAAAACTTTTTCATATTTACCATCATCAGTAATGGTTTCTGTGTGTCTTCTGATTCTTTGTTAGGAAGATCTGTTGGACAATGATGTTCACGATTTCTTTGTTTAAAAAACAAAACAAATAGTGTACATAAAAAAATAAGTTTCGTATCGGCATGAAGTAGATATTGATTTAAAGACAATCTGTGCAAAAACTACACTGGCAAGTTTATGCTGACACACCTCTACTATTACTACTACCACTACTGGCTATTGAAAAGTTTGACTAATTAATTTCAGACACGTAATCAAAAATTTACTCCAGTAAAGAAAACATTGATGACAAAAATTTTAATAACTTAGTTTACAGTTTAAGCGAACAATAACAAATTCGATTCCAATGATGAAAGAAGAGAGTATTTTTTTGTGAGATACAACTTTACAGTTATATATAAGTACTGTATGTACGAGTGGGAAAGGTACAAAATGAATCAACATTTTTGTACATCTGAGTTGTTTTACTCTACAAAAAAGACAGACAGAATACAGCGTAGTATAATTGTGGCGAACAAGAAGGCGAGTGGGGACACTCGAATGTATTTGACACGAAAATTACAGACTATCTCACTAAAATCTGACAACCCAATCAATTGTCTCACTCTTGACCATTCCTTCTACAAATATCAGTCCATAGTGTCCGATTATTATTGTTCATGCATTTTCATACTGATTGCATCCCGTTCCCGTTCTCCCCTTATCGATCTTCTACTGAAATACATTCAATGCCCGACCATCGTTATATACTACTTGTGTAGATACAAGTAACCCACATCACATAATAACACAGTGACAGGATATGCAATCTAGCGTGCTAAATCATGGGCAAAATATACTACAGAAGAGTTGGAAACCATCTAAAAGTTGTATGGGATGAAGTGTAGAGAGAACAATTTTAATCACAGCTCCACAGAGATTACGTTAGAAAACTTAGTGAATACTTTAAACGCTAGATTGTAGTTAAAAATTATTTTGATAGTTATAATGAACAGAAATTCGATAATAAAAAACAGTAAAATTGTTTAACTTGTACGGAAAATCAAATTTCTACAGTAAGTTACTCCAAATTTGAATACAGTTAAACTACTTGCAAACAGTAGAAAGCTGAAGAAATTTGATATAGTAGTAAATGTGTATGACTCGAAATATTAGCTGATTGTCTAGCGTTAAACATGGAACATATCTGTGAAGGTGAACGACTAAACATTTAAGCACGTGCCCCAATAAACTAAGTTTCAAAATATTTGTGTTTGAAGGACCTGTAAAAAAACTAGGTTAGCATAGATGGACTTGACGATATGAGAGAATTATCGCAGTTTAAGTGTAAACCACTTGAGGCGAAGTAACTCCATCGTGAATAGGTTTTATTGAGCTGACCGTATAATTATCAAACCTTACTGAATACACTATAAATCTGCAGGATAAGATAAACTATTTTAATGGTCAAACTTTTGTGACCTTTTCCTCCATTGTAGAAAGTTAATATCACAGAAGTTAGTGGTGATTTACGAGAAACAGATTACTGCAGCCAAATAGTTATTTAACTTCTCCTTTGAACCCTAATTTTGTCAATTTTGGTTTTCCCGATCTTCAACAAGCTTGTTTAGGATAGTGGAACATGAAGAAATAAGTGTGCTAATTAATATAGATCACTGAATCACTATGTTAAGCAAGCTCAAACACTGGGAAGAAGAAGCAAATATGATTGGAACTGGTGAAGAACACCAGTATCGAGAGTCAAATAGGTATAACCGGTTGTGGTGGTCGATATTTGATATTATCGTTAAACTTCGTGATTTGTTCATCCCGATAACCGTTACTTGATAACACCCCAAAGGTATTATTGAACCACGCACAGATATCCCAAATTACAGGAACGTTAAACAAGCATGAAGGAGTAGTGCCGTAAAGCAGGCGAGTGAGCGTGTGAGTGATTAAGTCAGCGAGTAGTATTGAGATGTACATACATATACATAGTGAAATGAGTGAATCACCGAATCAATTAAGAGATTAGGCTAGCAAAATGAATATATGCGTAGGCAGTAAACAATGCTCAAACGTACATAATAAAAGTACAATGGTATAGATAGGTGTTATTGTACGAATGACTTTGTCCGTTAAGTAAGTTAACAAAAAGGCTTAACCAAATTATATATCAACAAACTCAATTGTACGTGAGCTGCTATACGGGTAAAGCTAGATGATCGTAATGCTACATCACGAATCGGTTTTACTTATAAGTGTGAACGATTGGGTTTGAATTTCGCTGCATAGTCTGAAGGTAATGTTTTAGATCTCTAGTGGGATTGTGGTCGCAAAAAGGTAGAGAGCTCAGGGAGAGTTTGAAACAGGTGTATAGTACACCTTGATTTCCAATATGTTTTCAGATAAAATAAGTTCATAATTTAAACTATTTTATGACTCAGGGGAACTTTGAATATGATAAAATTGAAGCTTATCAGATAGATGAAAGTTTTATTTGAAAACTTGAGGTTCTGAAGAAGTATTTTACCGTTTACTTCATTAACAATTCCTCAGTTATCCATAGAAAGTTGTTCCTTACCTTAATTAAACCTTGTATCAAGGCTTACCCTTCATTAATACTATCAATAATCTTGACTGATTTGGTTACGTTTAATTCCTTTCACGCAACAGCCATTGCTCGTTCTCGAGGAAGATATTATTTTTGCAAGCGTTGGTGTGGTTTCGTTAGGATAGTATGAAAAAAATTAAAGAGTATATTGGACCTTTCTGTATTGTATTATCAGGTTTTAATCACCTAATACTATCGATATAAGGTTGTTTGTGGATATTTTATCAAGTTTGTTATTGTTGTTGGAAAAGTACATTCGGTTCGTACCAGAATTCGTTTTGTTATAAACTATTCGTGTCGATGTTATGGGAATCATAGTGTTCTAATTCTATTACAAATCATCATCCACATCAATTGTTTCAAGTGCATATTTAACAGCTTCCTTTGTACAGATTAAAACAGTGTAGTAAAAAACAATCTAAAATAAAATTGGATTAATATAATTAAACTAAAAACTACGATTTAAACAATCATTTGGATACCTTTTAAATATCGTATCTTCTACTCTGATTTCAAAAAGACGTCCACAATATTCACGAATATCATCAGGTGTCAACAGGGATTCTTTTTCTTTGTCTTTAATAGAAAACACCTTTAAAAATAAGATTGAATGCAGCGTCAAAATGATTTTAATCAGAAAGGAAACTACTTTGAATGTAATCAACTTAAACGTTAAACGTAGTTCTGTTACATTTTTTCCAAAGCCTACATATATTTATATATTTTAATTATAGTATTTATGAGCAACTAGTTAACTGTACGATTTCCTTGCTCGTGCCTTATAGGTTAGTTGTAAACCAGTACCCTTCTCATTGGTGCATGTATTAATTTTTAGCTCTGCCATTTGAATTGGTCACTTTTAACATTGTCTCTGTTAAAGTTAAGATACTCTTTTGAGTCCACCAGTCTTGGGTAAGTTTCCCAGCACGTCTAACAATACCTAAAATTTCAAGCCTGTTTTTTCCGAAATCAGTAAGGTGGTAAAATATACTTTGAACAAAACTAAAGACAGAAGAAAATATTTAGCAGACAATAGTCAATTTCATATTTCTTCACATCTAACCTGAGTTTTAACAGCAACAATTTCTTGAGTTCCAGTAGGTGCCTCATTTTGTGTATTGGCAGACAGGTTGGATATATAATCAGATTCCGACAGTTGAATATTTGATGGTGATGTTAAACAAGATCTTTTGGTTAGATTACCACGTCTAAATTTACGATATCTATTTCCAAAATGAGTTGGTTTATTATATACAACGTTATTACAAGTACTTGGCACTTCTTCAACTAGTTTAGGTAACGAATCTACAGTAAATATAATGGAAACAATGATAAGAATTGTAAAAAACAAACGATTTAAAAAACAACTTGAGAATATTGTAAACGCTAAGCTATAGAAGTTTATTATCATCGGTAACACCATGGGGATTGGTTGAAATTGCTAAGACATTGATTACATAATCAAGAATCGTCAGAGGCAAACCAGAAAAGTGCTTTTTGTCATTACATCTCGCAGGGCGGGGTCGTGGATGCGCACTGCTGAGGAGTCCCACACTAGAACGAAACGGTCGTCCAGTGCTTCCAGGTTTTCCACGATGGTCTCGCTTCAATTGACTAATGAATTCAACTATAAAATTACTAAAATCTCCACGAAACCCCTTCTGATAAAATCCTTAAGGACAATAGTAACTAGAGTCATATTACTGGCGGGATATAAATTAGATTAAAGCATGTTTCATGCGGAATTGTGTTGGAGAACGCTGACTGGTCATTTATTAGCGAGAGATAGAGGACAATTGGAGAAGACTCTAGAATCTTTGCGTGTAAAATTGTACTTATACTCACATCCTTCTTATTGTGAATTTCACTTTCAGTCAACCTTCTTTATTTGGAACATAATCACATTCCCGTCCAATTGTGTCCCGAATCAGGGACTAGTTGAGTGAAGTAGTGTTCGAATAAATACTAAGCAGTAAGACTATGAGTCGTCATAAGAGAGATAATAACACGTGTTGAGTAAATCTATTCATTACAGACTGATACACGCTGGAGAACTCCTAAAAATCAAATAACTGAACGAAGTAAGAAATGTGGAACTTCCAGCTCCAAATAACAGGTTTAAGAAAATCTTGTGCTTAATATGGGACACGGACGTCCAGAAATCCACGTCGCAAAATACATTTAATGGATATTTCTCAGGGATCTCAACCTCTATGATAAATCAACCAGTAAACAGAACCTGCTTTTCAATAGCTCATCATAAGTTGTACGTCGGATAAACCATGACAAACTTCATCCTGTCTTAAGACAACGAGTAAAACAGGGCAGATGAATGGAAACTTGAACGAATAAATGAATCATTCATCGCCAAAAGTCACTACCGACAACATACTCCTGTTAATCTTGTAACCTAAAAATATAATCATGAGTTATAAACATTGCCATTCCACTTTCGAAAATAAAACTTCCTGTAAAGTGTTAAGCCTTTTCACCTGTATAGTTAGACAGGTTGAAAGTAGGAGCGTGCATTAGTGGCTGAACTGAAACGCGAAACAACAATATAGCGACAGTCAGTGGTGAAAACTATAGTCAAATCAAACAAATATATATAGTATAGTATATTATAGTTAAATGATTTTTACGAAACTGACCTCTACCTGGCCTTAAGAAACTGAAGTCATGAGACGATTACGTTAAGTAAAGAAAAAGTTACGTTATTTTGGGTAGTGTTATTTTCTCATTCTTACTATTCATTTCATGATAAGGAGCAATCACCTGATTATTTTATAAATACTCGTTAAGGGGTGGTTCAATGATCAAAGGGTTTAACACACCCACTATATAGTAGGTTCAAACCCTGCCCCAACGATTTCAGTTTGGACAGCCGGGAAGTATCTTCGGCTCTCATTTTTGGAGTGCGGCCAGCAGTCAAGTACACCAACTTGTATTTGGTGAGTGTTAAATCTTTGATTTCCTTTTGAAATCACAAATTGGTTAGTCTTAAAATCTATGGGTATTTTTAAGTATTTAATTAGGAAAATTCTAATAAACAGAAAATAATGAAAAATTTCTTACCTTGTAAAGATGATGTTCCGTTAGATGAACAGTTGATTGAATCTTCGCCAACATCACCACTAACATCGTTATCATTGTTCAAATGTGGTTTTTTAGCTCGACTATCATCTTCAAATGAATTCTCTTTTTCATCATCACCAGAAGATAATTCACCTTCTTCTTTATCGGAATTTTTACTTTTCATTATATCAACAACATCGTGATTATTGTTATATTCAGGTAATGAAAACGAGTTTTTTCTACTAGAAGTGAATGATACTGAAACATCATCAGTAATTGGTAGCTTATCCTCATGTTTGTTATTTATCACTGACACTTCATCTTCTAACGATTCATGAGATAGGTCTAATTTTTGAATTGTTTGCATATCTTCAGATGGGATATTTGTTGGTGATTTTTCAAAAGGACAACATACTGTTTTATTATTTAATTCATTTACTGGACTAGTAAATTTTGAAGGGACCTTCATATATATCATAAGTGATGAATTATTTGAGAAAAGACAACGAAAAAATAAAAACGATAATGAAAAAATAAGATTACTATTTGGCTTACTGGATAAAACTGAATAGAGTTAGTGATGATACTTTTTGGTGTTATGGCTATTACGTATATATAGTGTAGTCAAAAGTACCATATTTACACGCACACATAAATACCTCATCATTAATTCACTGTTGACTAATTTGATCGTAGATATGACAAGTATAATTTGGGAAGTAATTTAACCTGGAATTAACCAAATAAACTAATATGGGTGTTGTGACATACTCAGTACTTGGCTGAACAGTATAAATAGTAAAAATTCGTACCCTACTGCCAAACATCTTTGTTTCAATGGTCAAGAAAAAAATCTTGTCGAAAATTAGAAAACTAATGTTAATTTCGTTTTTTACTATAACACTCAACAAACTGGGGACAAAAGTAGACACAGAAATGCCAAGCATTCTGAGACAAAAACTCCGGCGAAATTACCAAAAAAGGTAAAAGCTCTTCATTCAAATATGAGGTAATTGCAGTCTGAAACGTTTATGTATTATTGTGCAAATGATTTCTGACTATCCAGTGGAATTTTACTCAATGACATTACCAAGTCTAGGGTTTCCGTACAAAAAAATATTATGACCTTCGTACACATAACCGCTTTGTTGATGAAACACGTTTAAAAGGCCCAATTGAATCCGTTTCGATTCCTAATTTTAATTCTGCAACTAATGACTCTATTCCAGATAATAAAAAATCATCACCAATTTAGATTTCGTTATACATACAACGAACCTTCGTAGAAAACGTACAGTAAACTATGAAAATCCATACCTGTGTTTAACCTGTAGTAGATGTGGTGTTCGAATGAAGCAACAATTGCTTTGTACATAAATGAGCATCTTGTTATAATTCAATTACACTACCACATGCATTCATAGTCTTCTTCCTATTTTTATGAACTAGTCCCTTCGTAGCCAGTGGAGTACATTTTGGACAGACCCAAGAGTTTGTTTATCCCACACTAAATTTAATACTATTACTTATTATATTTACATTTGGTGGTCAAACTAAAGGATGACATCAGTCCAGGTCATAGATTGTTGATCTGCGCCATACTGTTAGATTCAGACTATCTTATTAAGGTCCATTTGATAATGGCGACCAGTCTTTGGAGACTGAGAGCGACATGGCTCAAAACTGTTCACAATGGCGAAAATAAACTTGCATTTTATCTTCCTCTAGATCTTAAGTTCTCGTGTTGCTTTACAAATACTTTTCAATTTCATCTTCGAAAATTCTATTTTCAGTGTTTAATTTTTATCACTGTTATTTCTGCTAAAATCATTTAAAATTCTTTGTTATTCATCTTGTTAATTTTATCTGACATGTCCAAGGTTCTACGTTGATATAAGTGAACGATTGAGAAAGTAGGATAGACGACAACCATTGTAGCAACACAGTCAAAATATCAAAATGAGTACGAAAGACATGGTGAGAATAAATGTCGAATAGTACGCTAAGTGTTTAAATCAAGACCGGGGCTGCATACTTTCGATGGACTTGATTTTAAGTACCTACGCAGGTGCAATTTACAGCTTCGTATTATTATTGTTATAATGTGGCTGGTGACCAGTGATTGTCTTCAAGTAAAAAAATCCTTAAACGACTATGTGGAAACTTTGATTTCAAGTTTAAATGAAAGTCAACATACTGAATGTGAATTCAGGAAATACAACCATATATACTCACCTATTTTCAATGTGACTACAGACCACGGGAAACAGTATGATGAAAGTTACAAACGTATTTGTTTAGCTAACAATAAAAATCTTGATATTATGGGCAAATATCTGTATAGATACAATGAAAAAATAATTTTCCGCTCAAAGATGAAGGAGGACATAACTAAGAGAGGAGTAAAATATATACTCAGTCTGATGGTGAATGCCATACCTAAGGGGAACTCATAAATTATGAAGTAAAAATGAACTTATCAGTTTAGAATGGATAGTGGTGCGGAAAGTTATGAATCATCGTTGAAAGAGTCTTAATAAATTAAAACATTACATGATAAAGGTCATTGGCAAAGATTAATTTCGTACGATTTCTTAATCCAAGATAACAAGAATGATCACCCACCAAAATACATCAATAAAATGCTGAAAATTTACCTTATGAGATTCAGTCGGATAAAAATTTTTTCCACTAGCTTTACGATAAGCTAAACATGGAATAGCCGAAACAGGAATCCGATGGTGACGTACACTACTCGGTCCAATAGAATATGGTCTTGAAAGTGTCACCACTCGGCTTGATCTGTGTAAATATACATTAAGTCCGGAAATATGACGTAGTTGGAGCCAACCCTCAGGTAGGAGACCAAAATCAACTGTTTCAACCATATCTATTGTCGTTTAGGAAAAAAACTTATTGTAAAATTAATCTATACACACTAATATAAATGAGGTTACTTAGGTTTCAACTGTGTATTCAAATGTCAAGGATACGAAGTGAAAATTTTTCAAAAAGAAAAGTACCACTTCCTTTTCAGAAAAAGCAACATTTTACACAAGAAACAGAATTAACTCACTGACTTAGATATTCTTCATAACATTTTAAGTGATTTTCATCACATCTATTTCAGTAAAGGGTCAGGAAAAATTAGGTAGAACATATCTTATTGTGGAATATCTCAGAAACACACGCACATAACCCACTTTGAGATCGAATAAAGAAAATTGTAAAGCTGTGCAACAAGAAAATCTCGAGAATATTTGTTTTGATGTGTGGCTGATGTACATAACAGAATAAGAATTTCGGCAAAGGAAACCTATGTTTTTTTTAAACATGAGTGATGTAAACTAGTAACCAGTGACCCATTAGCTGATGTCGATTTACGAAGAAAACCATAATCAGATGGTTACCAAATGTTTTGATTATAACAACGTAGATTATCTTAAGTTCTTGAATTTCGTCTTACTAGACTGGATACCTTATCTAGTCTCCAGTCACTTAAATATTTAAATGCCACCATTACATATCTAAACAATGAATCTTGTTAAATATAATTACTTATGTCACACAAAATTAAATGAATATGTGGAATATTTCCTGCGTACCGTTTTTGCCTAGTTTGATGATTATAAAGAATTTTATTCAGATTCCATGATATTTTTGCTTTTCTTCACAAAGCCCGGGACAAACTCCATCTTTCCGAAATCGTTATCAGCGCTTTTACATTCAATAAGGAATAGATATCTATTCAAACTCCGTGAATTTATTTGTATTCAGATGAGAAAATGTTTGAAATAAGTTTCCCTATCTCCGAGTTCAGAATATTACTTTAGGGTTGGTGTGCAATAATGTTTATTCTAACTTACTGGGGTGTAGACAATTAATAACATCTTAATCTGTATACTTATTTTTAAATATCCTTCTTACATATAGACTGTGTACTATGGAAACTGTTAAGAAAATGAAGGATGTTTAAAGTGGCACAAGCAATTATGTCTTATTCATAATAAATAAAACTTATGCAAAGATAATAAATTTAAAAATGATTGTATGCATAAACCATCTTACGAAAGTAACAATAAATGCAATCTTTCATCCATACATACTGAAACAGTGAGTTATGAATACAAAAGACCTTTGTAGTAGTCATTTATCCGTGCTTGAACAGAATTACCTCCCACACTAAAAAGCTGTGGTTTACATCCTTAAATGGGAAACAAAGTATAGTTACTTAGCTGCCATAACAATATTCTAACTACTATATCATAACCGTTTAATTATGGTTGTTTGCGAACCGTGATTCTGAATAATTACGATTATATTAATTCAGATCGATTTATTAGAGATGTAAATATATTACAAATAAAAATGTAGTAACAATAGTTTTATGACGCAAATTATAACCACTACTAAATAGGTAACCTGCAATATCAAACGACTGAAAAGTTTGTCCTTACGACCCAGATAGGGGTGAGTTAGTCACCGTCAAGACAGAACCTGATATAGATGTGCGTTGGCACAAGTTACCATACCATATTATCGTGGCGGGATGGAAATGACAAGATGAATAAATAAAATCAAAATAATGCGATGTCAATGACGATGAAAAAGACTAACCATTCAGAATATGGTTCAGAAAGATAGAGTGAAAAGAGGTTTATGAAGGAATATTTGAATACGAGATCGAAAGATGAGGAGTGAGTGCATCTGGACGGTTCGAAATCAGGTGACCCAAACCATCAGACCATTGGTTGCGGTTCACATGGTTACCGCAACCAGGTAGTCTGAATTCGCAAACATAGATCATAACAACAGTCACTGACTTTAAATGAAGCCAAAAGAAATATTGATGCAGAATAATATGAATTCATTATATATATATATATATATATATATATATATATATATATATATATATATATATATATATAAGCGGCTGACGAGAAACTACGAAATATAATGAATTCATATTATTCTGCATCAATATTTCTTCTGGGTTTATTTAAATTCATGAAGGGAACTAATTGCATGAAAGTCACTGACTTCATAAACTGATATCGCTTTCTGGTTTGGCCGCTTCACACTTTCTTCCAACATACTTTTACACCAGTTAGTATTGTTCGTCGAGGTAAGCGGTAGTGAGTCACACGTAACAGATACCCTAACTACCCTGCAGTCTATGTATGTCTTTTACTTTCATAGACCATGTTTTATATCGATAAAGTGATCCTTGGGGTTAGTATTTTAAACGGTACGTTAATTAAACGGATTTCTCCGTGGTTATCACAAGCGGATATATATCATTTCTTATTAACTGGAACGAATAGGGGTCGAGACCAATGAGATGGGATTATGTCCAGCTTCCGAACCCTAACCATTATTTCAGTCAACTTAGCCACTAAGATTGAACCACAACCACCCATCAGGGCCCGTTACTCTTCCTTGCTTTAGACTTTTCAATCTCACTAATGGCTGAGTGACTTGTACCAGTTTTCTATTTCGATCGTTAGAAGAGAGGAACTAGGTTAGGAATTGTTTCAGGATGTGTGTATGTGAAACAACAAGCTAAATTGTTCGCATATCCTTTACAACACTAGTTGAATGGAATTATGGTCAACCTGAACATGCAAAACACCTTGGAACCATTGTCGATTACGAGACCGGAATACCAAGTTTTATTTTACTGGAGAAATAATGAGACCAAAAATTAAAATTACATTCTGTGGAAACCGCTAAGTTACATGAACCCAGTTAGTATTCCATTAAGAACTGCAAGTGATAACTTTTTGTGTGAAGTGCATTTGTAACATATGTTGCCCCAAACTTATTACATAAAAACGTACATATAAATGTAAATAACAAATATACTAACCATTTATTACAAAACGCCTCTCTTTTATAAAGGATCGCTTTCGCTTGTACTCCATACCATCACGTACATTTATATTTGAATTCACATTTGGAATGTCTCGATTAAAATTTTCTTCAACTATAGCTCCCGAAGGGTTTGTACCGTTTTTCTATATTTTACAATCTTCAGATGATAAAAACAATGTATTACCTCATCATCCAATGAACCATCCCACAATTGCACGTCCATATCATTTAACAGTTAATTATAATAGTGATATTCACTAAGTAGTTTCCAGTTTACGTGTTGTCGTATTATAAAATGTACGTCACTTAAGTTCTTTCTGAAATGGAAAAAACGTAGCAGTCTGAAGCTCACTTCGTAAACTCACACATTCATACGACTTTCCCCCGAAACGTTTCTGTCTTTTAGTGATTGAAACTATGTAGAAATACCTGTCTAGATACATGGATATGAATTGACGAAATAATCAAAAGATAGATATATCTGAACATAAATCCAATTCTTTATGTAAATTCCACTCGAAATTTAGGTAAGCTTGCACATTTGGGTGAAATACTTCCGAAAAATCAAATCCTGATATCATATAAAATGTTATTTGTTCTCATAATGCATTTGTTTCTTGTGGGAAACTTGTTCGATGAGAAATACGAGTCCTAAACGAGCTCGATTTTGATTACAATTAGGATGATTTCATATCAACTGTTGTTTATCCTTATAATGAAATCGCTTCTAATGACTACACTAGTCAATGGGAGAAATATGTTTTAAATGAAGCCACATTATCTATAACTTGGGGATATGAAAATCCAACATTATTTCGTGGGACAGGATAGTGTTGGAAAATCTATGGTTCAAATCCTAGATATCAGTGGTTTCAGTACACAACCGAAATGGTGATTGTATACAATTCTAGGACCCAGGTGAGTCCATTCCAATTTCAGTTGTTAATCCTATTACTGATGAGTATATTCTAGATCATAAAGTCTACACCCAATACCCGGTTGGACAGATACATGATGAACCTAAGGAGAAGAGGCACAATTGATTGCAGAAATTCGGATTTTCATTTAAGATGTGGTATTTGTATGAACTAATGATTCTCTCGTATTTGATATCAGCCTGACTTTGAATTCCAAATACAATACGTTTATTAATGGTCATCTAGTTTTTTGGTTTAAATTGCGTTATTACTGGGATTCCTAGTTCGTACAATAATTAAAATACCTTCAACTATCACAGTAATTCCTGTGGAGATTCCTCAAGACATTATATATCGTCATCTTAAAAGAAAAAAGGAGAGACTATAATTTATGGACGGACCAATGACATAAAATGACAGGTTTTTGATTTTGGAGCAAAATCCACTCATCCATTTAGCTAAACAGAGTTTTAGCATTATAGCTGATGCCAGTTAGTGATGAAAACCCTAAATGTTATTGTTAACCTTAACCATCAACTGTAAATCATCATTCGAATTTCTCACACAGGTTTACAAACCTTATTTGTTCCTAGTTATTAGATGAACACTCTTAAGATCAGTCTAGCGTAGCCCAAAGGTCGTCCATAAATTAGTCTCATTCAATGAAATTAGGACTTAAATCCCTTACTAAACTAATTCTGCACATTAACATACATGCCTTCCACCGCCAATCAAGAGGTGTTGGAAAGATTTTCATGTTACAACTAGCGCTATTTCCACTCAGTTTTACTAGAAATACATGTTAGGTAAGATGACAGGCAATGAACGACATAGTAGTTACCATGGAGAAAATTCCTAGTTTTCCTAACTTTCCCATAGCTTAGTGGATCTCAGCAAACTAAATAAAAATCAATTTGACGGGTTTCGCGATTTAAATTTCTCCCTGGCATTAATGGTGATGCAACAATCAGAATATTGGTTTTTGTGTGTACACTGCATACAGAATCCTTTTAATTCATCTTTGTGGCCGACTACAATAAAGTTGTGTACGAGTTCATTGGATTTTTGATCTAAATACAGACCATTTATATTATATACTCCCCTTTTTCCGTCCTAAATTCTTCTTAATAGGCCAAAATCCTACGATCAAACTGGATGGTGCCTTTACCCTTATTTCGCAAAACTTAGTTATAACGTTAGCATGTCTGAAAAAATCCAGAAATGCTCATAAATTGTAATCGTCCACTGTATCCATATGTTTTAGAACTTAATTTATGCCCATAACACCATGTATTTAGTGATATGGATTCCATAAAATTTAGAATAACTTCGTTAGTGAAGGAAAGACTTTCTGAGTTTTCTTAGAATGGATATTACCCTAAAGTGAAATAAAGGTATAAATAATAAAGAAATATCACCACGCCAACAGTTACGCTTAGACTTACCGACTTTTCAGGTTATGAGTCTCGTCCTTGGGCTATCCCGAAAGTGACCAACCACAATCGTCCCACTTAGCTATCAAATATTTTGAGTTAAGCACTAAGGTCAAACGTCTGTGAGTATATGTTCAATCCCAATGCTTTGCGATGACTGGATTTCGTAGTTCAATTATCTCTGTAGGGTATTGCGGACTAAGCGTCTCACTTATTGATTGTGTTTTGCTGTTTTTACGATGTCATTGTAGATGTTGCCATTTTGAATTCAGTTTGACCACCATAGTCGTTAAGTTACTTGAAAAGATAGTTAGGGTTAAGTTACTAAGTCACATAGATTCGTACAATCTGTTAACTCCCGAGCAATATGGGTTTCGTAACAAGCGTTCATGCCTAACTAACTTACTTATTGCGAGAGAGGATTGAACAGTAGCATTAGACAACGGCCTGTCTGTCGACGTGATATTCATAGATTTTAGCAAAGCATTTGACAAGGTTTCATACTTAGGTCTTATCCATTTCTCGAGCTTTGGAATAACAGGTGCTACACAGGAATGGATAGGAAACTTCATATGTGACTGCAGACAGAGAGTAAGGGTCAGTAGAACGCCATACGAATGGAAACCGTTCAAAAGTGGTTTTCCCTCAAGGCACCATCTTAGGACCTCTACTTTTCCTTCTGTATGTTAATGAATTGCCGCTATTGCTTAAGATGTCGACATCATTGTTTGTGGATGATGTCAAAATCTAGAGAACAATAAGAAGTGAGGCTGATGGTTTTCGTCTTCAAGCTGACTTAGACGACTTAGTTAGGTAGGCTCATGATTGGGGCTTGGGAGTCAATTCCAGGAAGAGCGTGCTCATGCATAACGGCCACCATAATATTATTGATGGTACATCTCTTCCAAGCGTTCAAGAACATAAAGACTTAGGAGTAATAATAAGTCACAGCTTGAAAACATCTAGGCACTACAACACAGCTGCTTCCGAAAGTTATCGTCAGTTATGGTCAATTCATGGAGCATTCAAATGCTTTGATGAGGAGATGTTTTGAGTTTTATATCCCACCTACGTAAGACTACAATTAGAGTACTGTATCCAAGAAGCTAGCCCATGTCTAAAAAAGGATACTAACTCACTGAGTGTGTCCAACGTGCGGGGACGGAATTAGTGAAGGGTCTTTCTAAACTCCCTTACGATGAGTGTTTGTAACGTCTAAACAGTTTCCCCTTGTCTTATAATAATAATAATAATAGTAATAATATATTTCTGCATTAGCAGGTACACGCCATTTTTACAGGCATGATCTACAATTTACAACATATACCGGTTCACAGTATGCATCACAAGCAAGCTTGTTTAGTAATTATAATCTATAAAAGTTGATAGCAGTTCATTCGTTCAGATATAATGTGTTTTCATAAGAATAGTTTCCAAAGGGGCATCGGGTCCACGTTATATACCAGATCCAATCTCGACAAAAAGTGTATTAGGGTTTCGGTAGTTCTAAGTATTTACGTAATGCAGCTTTTCAAGTTTATAGTTGTTATAAAGTAGGCTTGTGGAGCGCCTGGTTCGAACTATGACCATGGGAAAGCTCATTCGTCGAGTTTGTTCCAGATGTCAGAAGTTACATAGCTTCACCCTCAGAGCAAGATTCTGAAGAGAAAAAAAGAAAGAGAAACCGAGGAGCAGCAAGGCATTTGGATATGAACGATAACCAATGCTTAACATTTATTAGTGGAACAGATAGAGGTATGATAAATTATTAGATTAAATTGATACTATCTCATTTTGCAAGAGTGAACTGCGATTAGGGGCTCCAGAAGAGAGAATGCAGTAATAAAGAACAATGAGTTGTGATATTTATCAAGGTGGAGTAGGTTCCAATGAAGGAGGGAAGTAAGGGTTGTAATGAGGAAGAACAGATAGTGCATATACAGAGTAGTGTTAAGTAAAATAGCAACCATATCCTTTACAGTCAGAATCGAAGATCATTTAAGTGGCTACATGATGCATCTAAAGTGGCTTCAGGAACATTCTCTATCGTAAACTTATCACCTGAACATCCACAATTCTAAGGTCCTTTAAACCAGCACATAAACCTAGTCCCAGTCGCTTTTCAGCTTCTCGTCTTTTTCCACGATCTGAGAGCAGCAAGACTTGACGGACAATGGCTGATGGTTCATTTGGTTTATTCTCCCTCTATAGTATTAGGTTCCTTTCATTTAGAAATTTAAATGTCATGTTTAGCAGCCTGGTCTTATTTTGCTTCAAGTCTGGCTACCAAGTCTATAAATCTGTAGCAAGGTAACCCTGGAGATATCCTCCGGCATCAGCCGACTAAATAGATTTTCTACGGCCCTAATGTCATGTTCAAAGAGAGTTTTGGGTACTGAGCTGACTCCTTGAAAGACAACTAACCTGTCCTTATGACCAGTCATCAGTTCCTGGGATACTATTTAACGGATTGGATTTTCTTCAGCAAGATTTTTATTTCTTGCTCTTAATTTGCATCTATCCATCAACTTTCTTTGGAGTAGGAATCACATTGGCGTTCCTCACACTGTGGGCTCCTGTATGATTGTTGATGATTGGGTGTAAGGTTGATTTTCCTTGCTAGACACAGACGTAGCATAGCCATTAGACTCTTATCAGGTTTTTCTTGCCCTCTTCTATTTGCAGGGCGGGGATAGAAGGAACTTTTCTGCTAGGGCTATTGTTCCTAACGGATCTCTCTCATGTCAGTCCTTCGTTTTTTTTGGCCCATGTAAGTCTATTGACTCGGTGAAATGACTCATCAACGCGTCACTGTGGGTAGCGGGAAGTTTCTAAGTGTTTTGATGCTTGGTGTCTGTTACATAACTCCAAGGAAAATAGTATTTCATTTCATTTTGTAACTGTTATTGGCAGGGAAGAAAATAATCTGTCACGGAATCCTGCATATCACCATAAACCGATCGTTTTCACGTAACATAACTCGAAATACATTGAAGAGCACAGTTCAACAAATTATTCCGTGAGACTAACCAAACCACCAGACGTTTTATACTACAGCATCAAACGAGCATTAAAGCAAAACTACGGTGAACAACTGCACACCCAACTTCGAGACCCTCTGATCGCTCGTATAAATGATCCAAAACTAGAAAAGAAGCTAATGAAAACTCCTTTCTGCAATTGTTGAACAATATAATCCGTTTACTTTACTTACAATATCATTGGTGGTCCTCGAGATGCCGTTACGAGACAGGATAATGTCAAATATCAGTAAATCTAACATTTGACAGAAATCTCAGATTTCTTCTAACACGAATAGTCCCAATTCATTCAGGAGAATAAATAATTTAGAAAGCCTTTAATCTGTGTTTGGGTGCCTCATCCTGACCTCTATGTAGCAAACTGCATCTTTGTAATTCATGTAGTTATCTCAATGTACGCTGCTGTAAATGTCGGGAGGTTGGACGTATACAAAAATTCCATAAAAGCTCAAAGACATTTACTAGCAAAACACCGAGTGATTATGGATTAAGACCAGCTAATTTGGAGGGAAGGATAGATTCGTGGTCGCCTAAAACTATCTGCGGAGGTATTTCGGATCTAATCCAAAAATTAATTGCGAACACAAGCAAGTATCACCCTTTCGTTGTTGATATTGGTAACATAGAGTCAATTATTTGAGAGAGAATCTTTTCGTTTCATTGTACTAATGTCCATTTAAAACCTACAAGAAGTGCAGTTAATATTCCCTTGAACAAAGAAAAAGGCTTTGTGTCAGTCTTCCTTTCCTAGTTAGTGAGTGGCCCATCTGTACTTGGGTTTAAAGTACTTTCCGATCTACTGATGGTGGGTGGTTGAGTGGTTGAGTAAGCAAGCCTTTCGTTAGGTGAGCAAACAATAAAACAAGTAAGTAAATTGATCACGACACATTTTGGTTATCATGGGATGCAACGGATTATACTGTCTCTGCTGCTACCGTTAGACAGTTGTGACAAATGTGGTATTTTCCTGTGTATTGGATCCTCTTCTTTTGTAGGTGTAACGTGTGAAATAGGTGAAGAGGAATGGAAATTATGTTGAAACTGGATTATTTTATTCGAACGCAGATGAGAATGTCCTATATGAAGACAATGAGGAGGTAAGTAGTAGGAGTACAAATGAATGTTTGTTTGCTGTGGTAAGCATGAAAATTCAACCAGTACATTTAGAAGTGAAGGGGCAGCCCGTTTTCCTTAAGCATCGCTTGATCCATATGGTTTAAGAAACACTGGGAAGGATGAGTTATATAAACTGGTAAGGAAAAAACAATGGTGAAGTTAAGTCATCCAGTTTGTTCACTCCTATTCTGACGGATGAAGAAAATACCTGGAAATTGTGTTACTATTACTGGACATTAAATACTCGGCCATTTCAACAGAGTTGTACCATTGGAAAAACTAAGACATACTATTATAAAATAGTCCTAAAAAAATGATTATTTCAAAATTCCAGTGGATGTAATTTCTGGTCAGCCAACTACTATTAGTAAAGCATTCGAACTGTTCAGGTGCAAATTCGCATCGTCCAGATTAAATGTTCCACCTGAACAATTGCAGATGGTTATAAATTAGATTATTACAGGTCTTGATGATGTTGAACCGTGTCAGAATGGCATCGTAGTTCACGCTGAAAATAAAGAGTTGCGTGATGAATTCCTACTAAAGTTATTCGGACGGTTTTAGTTACTGTTTCTCACAGGCACTGCACGGCACTGTACGAACTCTACCAAACTACTTTCAACTCAGTGTATATGCATAAAACATGAACAGCTACTCAGCTTACTCAACACGTTGTGGACAGGATTATGAAGAGAGGTCTTTCGGCCGGGTCGCAAAAAGCACATTACACAAAACTTAAGTTAATCGATAGACTTAACCGCAGTAGAACTTATTGCTTGTTTTAGAAGCCTGCTGAGACTGCCACTAAAATGTGAACAGGTGATAAAAAATAGAGCAGATCACTACTGTCCTGACAGTATGATAATTTTTATGGTGACGCTGGAAGTTTAATACCGAATTCGACAAGTGTTATCAACCACGCACTTGATCTAAATAGACTGTGAAACATACGGGAAATAAACCTCTCTGTTCGTGGCGAGGACTAAGGAGAGGTGTCTAAGCCGTCACTTTTTTTACTATAGATACAAAAGTTTGGGGATGAGTGTCCTTACGGGCACAAACTCAAAGCTTGGTATTATTGACTGGATTAGG